CAGAACAATTTACTATTAAATTGCAAAGTCAGAATTAACATCTGTGATGACAGATAAGTCCCAGATGGGTTCTAACCAGTGTTGCCAGAACTTTTTGGGGTGACCGGAAAGATTGGACAAAAAAAACGGCTAAAATGTTTCAACTACAATTAACTTTTTTTTTAATACATAAATTACAATAAGAAAGACTAGTAAATCCATTAAATTTTTTTTGCTAATAGAGATTATTCCTAGCTAAGCTGTACACCACTTTATTTTTGTTTAACAAAGAAATGTTCATGTTTGTATTACTTAAATATAAAAACAGAGATNTAAAAGTGTTGCGCGTTTCCAAACTGTCAGAATTCGGTACACCTGAGTAAAGATTCGAAAATAAAGTTCTTTGCTTTTCCGAGGATAGGGTACGTAATACGTGCAGTTCGACGACAAATTGCTGACGCAAAATATTTTTTAACCTCTAAAAGATGTACCGTTATCCATGGAACAGGAAGGGGGTCGAGTTAAAATGATGGCCTGCAACTTGTAACAGTACCAATTTTTGGATTCTCGGAGTTTTCTGATAAAGATGTGGTGCTGCTAAAAAATTTTTATACATAAATATAAGCACGAGACTATGTATTTGTGACAAGAATTATCCACATAAGATGAAAACTATTGCAGTTTCATTTTATAAAATTTTTGTTTATAGAAAAATGCATAAGTAAGACAGTTTGGGTACGGTTCGGTTATTTGTACAATGATTTTGGGTTATCGTGTCCAAACACGTGACCCGAATAAATAAAAATTGTACATATACGTCTAGCAAAGGGATTAAGCTTTAATTTAAAATAAAGATTTAGGTTTGAAATATGCACATTTATTGTAAATTTGGAGGTGGATTTTGCGCAAAAATACTGTAGATGGCGTAACCGGAGTTGGACTGATGAGGTTATTTCTTCTAGTACGGCTGAAGGCCACCAACTCGGAAATAAAAATAACAAAAATAAAATATATTAGCACCATGATGCAATTCTTCACAGGTATTGTCTCCCCAGAGAGTTTTGCTCCACATCGAAATTTGTGCTCTTTTATTTTGTTGTGTGTAAACTTCACACTTAAATTTAAGACATTCTTAATAAAAATTGAAGCAAGTTACGCCTATTTTTCTTTAGTTTATTTAATGTTTATTATCTTTTACGAATATGTAGCTCATTACTTAACAAAAACCATATACTACATCCAGATTTTAGACTGTGTAAAAATTATGAAAATTCTGCAAAATTTCAGCAAAATTTGTAACTTCCTAATCAGCTAAAATGGTGCGTCCCAGTTTACATATTGGGTTACTCGCTTAAAACAAAAAAAAAAAAAACATTGAAATCGGCTCACTATCTGAAGACTTTTCGGGTTAAAAAAATTGTTTTTCAATTTTATATAACACAGCCCGACAGAAAAAAAAAATTCTCAGGGATAAGACTTGCCATTTCTAATAGATTTTGGATCACTAAATTTGTAAAACTAAAAAATTGTATATTTGAATTTTAATAAAATAAGGCGAATAGCTAATAGCAAAATCGGCTAAAACCGGCTAATTATTTTTGCAAAACGGCTAACAAATCGGCTGCCGGCTAAACCGAATTTTCTCCGGCTGTTTGCTATCGTGACCGGCTAAATCTAGCCGGAAAACGACTAAAATAGCAACACTGGTTCTAACATCAGAAAGTAGTTTTGGTTAAAATTGCAGATAGAATGTATGGAATCTAAGCCCTCGATAAGAAAACCAAAACGAATTACTAGTAGCACAATTTTCAGGAGGCTAATTTTTCACTAGTTCTTTAACCATGTACAGAAAAAGTTGTGAAGACTGCCTGGCGAAGACTTCTTTAAGATGAAGCCGCTCAACATGCATACATATGTATATCCTGGAACAGATAGCAAAATATCAGCAGGATCATAGAGTGTAACCACAGCTTTGAAAAGTATTTTCTTTTAAAACCCAGATACAATTTGCAAAAATATTTAAAGTTTCCCTTTCAGGCTCATTTTCGCCTAAGTACCGCCATGTGACAGACGGAATGTTCGAACGAAATTCCATTGCGTTTTTTCAGCATGAAAAAACTAGATTTTTTTAACTAAAAAAAATAACTTAGTATTCATTTTTGTAGCCAATGAGGTATACTTTTTTAGTTAAAAAACGTAAACAATTTAGTACTGCCTCGTATTAGTTCTTAAATACCAAATTAGACGTTTAAGTTTAAAACCTATAATTTTTACAGTTTTTTTGTTTTGTTTTTTATTGAATACAAAATAGTACGAAAAAATAATGAATTAACACAATCAATTTTAAAATAATTTGAAGTAAATTTAATAAAAAAAAAGTTTAAAGCACGTTTGATATACAACGTTTTAAGTAGATTTAAAAGTCAAAAATTGTCTCCCCTTATTATCGACTCTGCTATCAAAATCTCAAAATCATTCTCAATTGTAGTATAAATATATGCATATCAAATATCAATGTTTACTGGGAGAGTGTAAAAAAACCAAGTCCACTTCGCACGGTTCCAGCAAACACAGTCTCTATCGTTAGAGAAATATTCAGATTTTTCATTAAGTTCTGAACACATTGAAAACGACAAGCTACGGGCCACAGCTTCCAATTTGTTATCTTCATTATCTAAACGCTTTGTCGATGACGACATGATTTTTTTTGAACGCGGCAGGCGACATCATGAATTTGTATGAGTTTGACATAAAAGAAGAGGAAGAACCTTATCTGTCGCCGGAAAAATAGAAATAGATCTAATCTGGCCACAACCATAGCCGTCGCGTAGCCCGGTCGTTGCCAAAATAATTATCTACATAAGAGTACGTGTTAAAATAATTTGATAGCTGTGGTCTGCAGCTCGTCGCTTTCATTGTGTTCGGGCTGTTAGAATTCTAATGTAGGTAGCGGTCGAATCGAAAATCAGGTTAGAAAAACACAAGATATTATAAACCAATTATAGTTCACATTATAATTCGATTATATATCTCACCTCTTTATCGGTATTGAGAACTAGGCCCCCTTCTAATATAATTCTCTACAGTTTCTCCGATCGTCTTCTAATGTTCTGCCTTTGAGAAACACATTACACTTCGAATCGTTTTCTAATCGTTCTCTAACCTAAATGTTTGCTGGGGCAGCTTACCCTCCCTCTGAATTTTTTTTCTTATCTTCACAATCAATTTCCGCCAAATGCTTATACTTTTGTATTAAATAGTTAAAATCTAAAAGAATTTGTGTAATACAAACACAGGTATGCCTGTATTTTGTTTTTTTTTCACAGGATTAATACCGGAAAGTATTTTATTAATACATTTCATTAGATGTCAATTGCAATCGGAATTGCGTTAAGATCTTAGCTCTGTTACCTGCTCCGTATCAAGAATATACAATTGATGATGCCGAAGGTTCATTTGCGTGTAATAGACCTACATATGTATTTTTTTACAAGATATTTTTTATTTTTTTTTTAATATATTTTCACGCAAAAATTTAAGACTGATTTCAAAAACATTAGAATACATTTTTACAAGATTAATAGATAAATTTTTTTCATATAAAATAAGTTTAAGGAAATAACTCTTTTTTTGTTATATTTCCCAAAAACATTAACTTTTACAAGTGTTTTCCTGAAAGGAGGTTTCGAGATTTTGATATAGTTGTACCTGTTTTTGAGAAAAGACAGGGTCAGATGACCCAACAACCGTTATGTATAGACAGGCTTGCTTATATAGCTGCGGAAATGTAGTGCGCATATCTTCCCATTCCTCTAATGGTTTGCTTTTCAAAGAAGATGCTGAAGCATAACAAGTTTTGCGCTTCCGATACAAGTACTTTTTTTCGATACATACTTGGATCGCAGTAAAAAGTATCGAATACAAAAATACTTGGTAAATTGAGAAAAGTATCGAGTATGTACTTGGATTTACTTGTATCGATTTATCCCTACACGTGATTCGGTTGGCGTGGAAACGCAGTTTTAAGGTATCCACACACCTATACGATTCTCTTGGTGCGAATCTGTTACGACAAAAATTACAACAATGCCGACCATAGTTTTAAATGAGGAACCACACACTTATACGATTTTGCTGCAGCGATTTATACTGTTACGATTATCCTCGAAACCTTGAGGGATTTCCCAAATATCTTTCGGCTCGTATCGCTGGATTGTTAAATAAATGCTAACGATGACCAAATTGTAGTACTAACTCACTTCGCTGTGGCGGCGCCCATATATACCTGCGCTCGTACTTATGGCAACTCTAGAACGTTCTGAAGTTTATCGCTCATTCTCTTTCTCTCGCTGTTCGCAGTGTTCATCCAACTTGACGTTTCTCTTTGTGGAACATTCTACGTCATTCCTCGAACATTCTGCCTACTTCTCGTTGTTCACTTCGCGTTGCCGCAGTATTCGTCACAATACGAATATGTATGTATACTGTGACGAATATGCACAGTTCTTCTTTTCGTCGTGCCGAAATCGCAGACTGCCGCGTTTTGAGAACGAAAAAGGTCAATAGGAGGATTTTACAAAATTGAACAGAAGAAAACATAACACATTTGATGTAGAAAAGTTAAGAATTTTATTTTTGTTGAAAAATACTTTTTGTTTGTCTATAAATTGACAGTTTTTGCTGCGATAAAATCGCTCAGATGTGTGCGTACCTGTGTTCTCGAAGCAGTAATGTCCGTAGCATCAAAAACGCTGCGGATTCGTTGCGACCGAAACGCATTGCTGTGTGGATGCCTTTAATTTGTATGGTTCAATTCTGTGATAAGTTGAATGCGCTTCCGGCATGTGTACAGGCTGAAAATAAGTGCGGCGCCATCTATAGCTGAACTTTTCCAATTTTGACCAAAGTCTGGCATTTCTTTGGGACTGTTGAATTTTATTTATGCATGTAGGTTTGAATTAAAGTAAGATTTATTTTCAACTACTTTTAACATAAAAATACCAATTAAAATCGATTTTTTTTTGGTTCCTTTTCTTTAATTTTAAGCTTAATGATGGATGTATGTTGCATCTTATGCACATGTCATTTGATAATTTCAAACTCTATACCGTTGCCCATGGAAACCATCAAAATCAAGTGGAACAACTAAAGGAAAATATTAGTTTTGCAAGTGCAGTGGAATATTTGGAGAAAAAATAAATAATCTGGAAGAATAAATACATAGATTGCAAAGCTATGAAGTTTATACCCTTGCACACAAAGAACACTGCAATTATTTATAAAAATGCATTATGTTCATCCGCCAGTATTATAGTACTTATCTTCATCATATTGTCGGTGATGATTCCCATGTTGTTGGTATCGTTGCTTAGTCCGTATTCTGGCATTTCGGAGTCAAGGGTTCTCTTCGAGCAGCCACGTTTGCAATTCAAATTCCAAAGCATTTTCACTGCGGAAACGGAAGAAAAATATGAAGCCGCTAATGGCCATGAATCAAAGCGTAGTACAAACGATTTGGTAGTATGCAGTACATTTCCTCAACTTAATAGCATTATGCAAGAACATAGTGGCAGTTGTGAAGGAATTAAGGTTAGTAATAACGTGAATTAGTTCCAAATAGAATCGAACTTAATTGTATTTTTGTAGTACTGGACTGACGATTTTGATCACGATGGCACAATTGATCGCGTACATTTCCAACAACAACTTGATTCTCTACCGGGACGAATTAAAAATTTTGATCTAGCTCTATTTTTTGAAGCACAATTGAAGGTATGATAAAGACACATATCGAAATACTTTATTTTTAGCTTTTTTTCTAATCGCTTTAGCATAAGTGTCCACTTTCGCCTCCAGCGCTGCTTACTTACCATACCTTTATCCCATCAGCGGCGCAGATAAGAGTTGGTACCATATTGCTCAAGGCTGAACTGAAACTAAAACAGTATATAGAGTTTACATGCCCTTTTCCTGGTCGTAATACAAAGACACAATTCCGCGAAGTGCAGCTAGGCTATAACAAAAGTCATGTTGAGTTGCAAGAATTCCAAATTCCCTCCCTTCTCGAACAGTTAAAGGCGAATCCGGCATATTTTCAACTTTCAGAGCAAGACACTTACTTTCAACATGAACAAGGAAAAACTCTTCGTGTACAGCTGGATTTAGATGTGTTACAGGTACCTGCACGATACCACCTAAGTGTCTGGGAGCGATTAGGTCAGTTTTGGCTATATTTTGCTTCCTTCTTCGGCATCTCTTTCTACGTGATGAATAAGATTAAAGATTATCTTTTTGGCCGACACATTATTCGAGCTTGGGAAGTTATACCTTGGAAAAAGCTTTACTGACACGGGCGTGAACGCTTAGCAGAAGATACCATTGATTTAGATGATTTCTCTACATCTGTTATGTACTAAATATAAAAAAAATATATGTAGTAAAAAATACTTCTGTTCCATTCTCTATGATGAGTTCTATTAAATCAGACTTTAATAATGCATCAACTAATGTGTTTTCAATATACAGTGCCCTTTGATTATATCAACGTAAGTATGTACAAACGTAATTCTAATTGAAGTGTATTTATCTTAAGACGCGTAATTGTTAAAAATGTATTCAAATTTAAAATTAGGTGACATCAAACTACATTGAACTTAGCATTTAAAAAAAATATTGCCGCATATTATAATAGCTGTCATCGATTCGCCACTTCGCCACAAATTTTGTCTGTGAAAGCAACAACAAAGTTAGCTAGCAAGGACGATATCGAATTTGGTTGTACTGCATCGAGTTTGTTTGTTTCGACACTTGCTAACTGTTGGAGAATCGATGTCTGCTAATATAGGTGTATATTATGTGGTTGAGCATTAAACCACAAATTCAAACTCTTGTTAACCATTTTCACGCTTAATTATTCGACATAAGTATTGACACTTTGTATGCTATCATTTTTTCTGAAAAGAGGTGAAATCCAAACTTTCAGAATCGATAAGGCTTTTTGCTGACGCCGGACTCGGATCATAAGCGCGATTATCTTCAATTATTATCGTTGTATGCGGATAGTAATCAAGTTGGACAAATAAATACCGATATTCCATTTTCCCTGACGGGGTCTATTAAAATATAATAACAAACTGTAAAACACTTAATTGAAAATTGGACATACTTCATACAAGTACCTTTCGTGATTCCAAATGCACAGTGCCTCGGTTCCGTATACCTTGAACATAGAACTGCATGCGTACATGTAAGACGCCGTTACGCTCGAAGGTTGAATGTGCAACTCGCTGTCTGCGACCACGCCGCGATTCCTCACCATATCCCTTTATTGGGGCGCCTAGTGCATCCTGCACACGTGGATCCTAGAAAAGATTATTATTCGAATATTCAACTAATAGCTTTCTCATGAACTTACTTCTTTTACTAGATCGAATGCGTCAGAATAAATATTATTTGGACTAGAACTGGAAAAAAGTTCGCGGAAGATTGCGTAGAATACTATGCCGGTCACTCCAACCCCAGCCAGAATTATCGCTGTGTAACTGGCAGTTTTTGTGTTTTCCTTTATTTTTTCAGCCAGAGGCCGCACGTCTGTCGATATATCAGTAGGGCCAGTGGTTTCTTGTAAAGTGCGATTGGCATTCGGATCTTCCTTCCGCGTTTGGTAAAGGGGACCCTGTGTCGTCGCAATCATGCGGCTCCATTTAACCTTCAATGTTGATGTTATTCTGGGATTCTTATGCAGCAGCTGACGTAGCACTACGAGTTGTGCCATTTCGGTAATTAAAAGTTTTATATTTTTTAAAACTGCGATTATAAAACTTTTATTTGCCTACGAGCTAAATTAAATATCCCAAATAAATAAAATTAAAAAGTCAGCTGTAAAAATATAGGTCCCACAACCAGCTGATTCCATTAGTTGCTGCCACATTTTCTGCAATTAAACTTTAACTGAGCTCACAGAACGTAAATCTATCAAAGAACGTAAATCTATAAGAAGTTCTCTGAAGAAGCGACACAGAAAGTAAATTCATAAGAGACCACTCGTTACTTTGAAAATATGCCGTGACGATGAGGAGTTCGTCTCGCTTTTGACTCTGTCCGCGGCAGATTTTTGATTTTCGTCTCGAATGCGGAAAATGCAAGCAAACCAAAAGGAAAACGGCAAATGTGTATTTCGGTAATTATTTTGCACACGTGGTTAGGAAAAGGTATTTTAATTTAGAAAATAAATAACACGCGGCACATTTTCAAAGTAACGAGTTGTCGCTTCTTATACATTTACGTTCTTTGTGCCTACTTATACATTTACGATCTTTGTCTTTTGAAATAAACTTGTGGCAGCTCTTGTTCTGTTTTGTTTTCGCTCGTCATTCAGCAGCAATTTGATCAGAGAACGTTTAAAACAGAGAAGCAGCAGAGAACGTTTAAAACAGA